AGTTACAGGTCTGTAAATTTTTCTTTCTTGGACTAGATTTTGATTTTGCTGCTTGGATGGCTACTCCGCGCTCGCCCCTCGGCTTGCCTCGCCCTGTTTCCACTCCGTTCTGCTCTCTGCTTTAGAGAGAGCCGACGCCATTGCCGGAGCTCGAGCCTGACGGGCCGCAAATTCGTGCCCGCTGTATGCATAATCTTATACTAGCATCAGCATATATGGGAATCCGGAGCTGGAATCACAGTGGACCTCGTGGATCTCGCAGCGGACAGTGAAGAGTAGGGCTCGTAGCATACCTCAGCGCCGCTACGTACTGCCGGATGGACGGGCGCGTCCGCCGTCGCAAGGATGTGGTGGGGTCTTCTTGACGGGATGGACGGCGGGGTGCTCTAGGCTGAAGGAGGGAGCTCCAACCACCACGATCCACGCCTGCAGACAGATGGAGGACGGGACCGCGAAATCCACGGTGGCGAGGAGGACAAGGAAATGTCCCTGCTCGGTCGTCACAGCGCCGCCGCCGCCGCCGTCGTCGTTAGCGACCGGAGGAATTGGAGAAGGGGACGGTCTGGGACACTGGGCTGTGGTAACTGGCTGTCGGTCACTGGATAGCCGACCAGAATCCTATCCGCTATTAGAATGCCATAAACCTATCGGCTATCCAGAAACCGACAAGTCCGATAGGACGGTATCGCGGGGATTAGATTCTGTCGGCTATCCACTGGCCGATAGGTCATAAATTATCTAGCTCATTCCCTCTCGCTCGCACTCCCTCCCACCACGCGTCGTCGGCCGCCGCTGCTCGCCCGCCCTGCCAAGCGGATGTCCTCCCTGCGCCGACCACACCGAATCCGACGGTGGGCATGCCGTCGCCGCCCCACACTCTGTTTGGTGGATTGATTCATGTGCAACTGTTCATGTTACAAATTCATTACAGTGATTCCGTATGAGGAGAACCCTACAAAGAGGAGAAAAAAAATTAAAGTTGCAAATAAAGTTGAAACTGAAGTTGAAGCCATTGGAGATCTTTCTCTAGAATTTGTTGATGGTTTTAGACGTCAGCTTTCATATATTCTTTATGTACCCTCTTTGCGTAGAAACTTGACAAGTGTTTCAAGATTTGATGACGATAGATATGATTGCCATTTTGGTAATGGCAAATGTTGAATTGTGATTAATAATAAGTGTGTTCGTCTTGCCTTTCGATAAGACAAGCTTTATTTATTATTATTTTCTGAGCATTTGAATGATGTGAGCACTGAGAATGAGAATGCTTCCTCGTCTATAAATGCAACAAATAAGCGGAAGAGAGTGCATGATGTATCTTTGAAATTATGACACTATCGTTTAGGCCATATTTCAAGGGGGGAATAGAGCGATTGATTAAGTAATCAATTCTTCTGCCTTTAGAATTTTTAGTTTTAGAACGATGTATTGATTGTATAAACGGAAAATACGTTAAGAAAATAAAAAAAGATGCTAAACAAAGCGTAGGAATTTTAGAAATAATCCACACAGACATCTGTGGTCCTTTTTCTGTGAAGAGTGTGGATGGTTATGATTCATTTATAACATTCACAGATGATTATTCTCGTTTTGGCTATATTTATCCAATTAAAGAAAGATCGAAAGCATTAGATAAATTTAAGATATTCAAGGCTGAAGTAGAAAATCAGCCGAACTTAAAGATTAAGGTAGTAAGGTCCGACCGTGGGGGAGAGTACTACGGTCGACACACCCTATATGGTCAAGTTCCTGGACCCTTTGCAAGGTTCTTACAGGAAAATGACATAGTTGTCTAGTATTCTACACCGGGCGAGCCTCAGCAGAATGGAGTAGCTGAAAGACGCAACCGTACCTTAATGAACATGGTGAGAAGCATGATAAGTTACTCTATCCTATCGATAAGTTTATGGTTGGAGGCGTTAAAAACCGCCTTTCATATTCTTAATCGAGTGCCAAACAAGTCGGTGCCCAAAACACCGTATGAGTTATGGACAGAACATGAATCCTCCCTTAACTATTTACGTGTGTGGGGTTGTTCAGCTGAGGCAAAAGTCTTTAACCCAAATATAGAGAAGCTAGATTCCAAGACAGTCAGTTGCCATTTCATTGGCTATCCAGAAAAGTTAAAAGATTACCGCTTCTATTGTCCTAACAGACAAACGAAGTTTGTAGAAACCAGACATGCAGTGTTCTTAGAGGATGATATGATCAGGGGAGCATGGTAGCGCGAGAAATTAATTTTGAAGGGAAACATGTATACGTGCCCACTCCGATGGTTCAGAAATAATTCTTTACGCTACTTGTTGTTGTTATACCAACAGTGTAAGACGCTATAGTAACAGCATCTGTTGTTAGTTCTCATGTGGCAACAATAAATGAACATGAGGAACCTGTCTTTCAGGATCCCTTAAAACCTATTGTCACACATGAGGAAGAGCATCAACAGCCTCATATAGAACAATGTTGGGAGTATGCCCTAGAAATAATCATAGAGATGATTATATTGCCTTGTATCCATGATATATTATGAGTTCATTGAATTTCCATTAAAGACAACCTGTATCGATTAGCAATTATATGAATTGTTTGTGAAACTCTTTTACTTGTATGGTTATTCTAATGTTGTCCCTGGTCAGAGTTCGTGTGAGGACACACATGAATAATGGATCAGCATATTATTAGTTGATGACTATGTTTCACAAGTCATAGACATGGAGATGTCAAATTAATAATGTGGGCACATGTATGACATGGGGTTGGAGTGACCCAACGTGAGATGTTGTTATTATCTCTATTCACATCATGTACGTTATGTCCTTAGACCTGAGATTGTTGTATGTATTCAAGATGTGAAATGACCTACTCAGGGACTATCAAACGCTACTCCGTAATAGGGTAGTTATAAAGGTGGTTTTCTGGGTTTGTCGGGAAACATGCTATGAGACATAGACAATCAAGATGGAATTTGCACCTCTCTATATGAGAGAGATATCAATGGATCACTCTAATGATTAGATCAAGAAATGCATGGCCGTGCTTGGGTTAAGTGTTAACCTATGAGTTTAACCAAATATCGTGAGGCAAGGGAATAACAAGTATGGGGTTTTGTGGTGGTTCGTCTGATATAATCTTTGCGTACGCATAGGAGTTGACATGCCTTGCTAGAGGCCGCTATCAAGTAATGGCCGAGTAGGAGTACTCGGCCCATGTCTATGTGTGCCTGAACCCATAGGGTCGCACGCTTAAGGGGCTGGAAGCCTAATTCGGATTGGATCCGAGTTAGACAGGGCTTAGGGTTACTAATGGGCCTCCAACTCGGGAGCTCATTAGGGACGCCTATAAATAAGTGGGGTGGGCAACGGGGCTAGGTATCCACGCCATTTTGGTAGCCGCCGCCACCCATCCTACGCCCGCGCCTGCTTCTCCTCGCGGACCTAGCAGTCCAAAGGCACGACGCTTCCTCCCTGTACGTGTGGATACCTCGGAGGTGCTGCATCTGGAGCACAAGGACGAACCGCACGAAGGGGACGGACATACGGATGACCTTGCAACTGCACCTACGCGTCTAGTGGTAATCCCATGATCTATAACTAGCAGTAGATCCTGGTTTATGAGGTCGGATTTTTTTTCCGGCTAGCGTAGCATCCTCATAACCCTACAGTGGTATCGGAGCTAGGTTACTGCGTTGTTATAGGTTCGGATGAGTGCGTATGGAGATATGCGCGGTTGTAGATGAGTCTCTGATCATGGTTCATGATTTTACCGTGTTGGTCTTGTAACAATCTACTCGTACCGGTCGGAATTCCACCATCCGAGTTAAGTGATACATGTAAATCCAGTCATGGCAAGATGGAGATTAATCAGATTGATCGAATCGAACCTAGGTCAAGTGCCGAGCGCATGTGATGCGCAGCGGTGATAGATTGGATCTACTGCCGGGCGCCGAGGTGCAAGAAAAGTGTTGTTCTGTAAAACAACCATAACTTTTGCATACGACCTCGGATTGAGACGAACTCTAAACGAAAATTGTAGAGAAAAAATTTTTACATCCGATTCTCACCCTTTTGGTGGTTTCGCTGAAATTAGATTTGCGAAAAACGGCCGGGAAGATGGTGTTTTCGGCGTTTTAAGATTAGACGTCGGAATCGGTTAACTCTGTTTTGCAGGAATTTATGACTGGTATAGCCCTTATGTGTATGTGATGCATGTATGTAATTAATTCATGGCTTGCATGTTGTGAGTATGACAATATGACTGGAGCCACAAAGATATTGTCAATTTGATGTAATGGCCTGCGTGCCAAACTATGATGATCCTATCCGCAACTATGTAATTTTCCTCACTGCCTTGTGTTAGTGATAGCTAGTCTTGGTGGACTCATCACTGAAGGATGGCATACATGGATCATGGAGATGGAGATCCCCAAAGGAACAATGGGCTATACCATGTCATATTTGTGTTAATGCCGTTCTTACTATGTTCTACTTTCACGTGCGATAATGTTTTTGTCTACATGCGATGGTGAAGTAGAACGATCCCTCGGCAATGTTTAAGTAAAAATGCTTCCCCAAACCTTACACTATCATGTGTCTTGTACAATCGGTGGTGGGTCTATGAAATTAGGGTGCCACTGGTTTTCCTTGACTAGACATGTTCGTATCGGATACTTACAACAGAAGGGTTGGTTACTTAGACAAGGTCATCCTAACGGTTAGGGACCTTGGAGCATGAGTAGTTGGGCACCAAAGCATAGAGATGCTACCCAACAACAAGAGTCATATGTGATATGATTAGCAAAGAGTTGCTTACCAATCTACCATGTCTTCTAGCGGTGATGCTAAAGCTCACTAGTAGACTTGTTAGTTGTGGGTCTTGAATCACTAAGTTTCAAGAGAGGGATATTGATTTTAGTGGGAGTAGATTCTATTAAAGGTTTAATATTGTTTACTCTATCTTGGATACATTGTCTTAGTATTTTGCATTACTTTTTTTGTAGATAAATGGTGCCTAGCAATCAACCATTTACTTTGCGTTCAATTCTTGAGAAAAATAAGTTGAATGGAACAAACTATGTGGATTGGATCCGCAACCTGAGAATTGTTCTCAGGGCTGAGAAAAAGGAAGAAATTCTAGACACCCCATTACCAGAAGAGCCTGCTGATAATGCACCTGTTGCAGAGAAAAACGCTTACAAGAGAGCATGTGATGTTGATCTTGAAGTGAGTTGCCTTATGCTTGCTTGTATGGAACCAGATCTGTAGTTGTAGTTTGACAATAACCATGCAGCGCACGATATGATCGTGGCGCTCAATGATATGTTCCAGACTCAAGCCAGGACTGAAAGGTTCAATGTCTCAAAGGCTTTTGCTGAAACCAAGCTAGCAGAGGGCGCATGAAAGGTCCTTGTTGGTTTTGGTAATTGAGTGACAACCTAGGTGGACTAATTGTGTTTATGTGAGATACACAGGTGATTAGTCCACAGGTACATGTGTATGAGCAACATATGCCATGGAGGTGAAAATGGCTTGGAGATGTTGCAAAGCTCACACATGTGATGATGAAGGAGCTTATTGCACATGAGACATGACATTGAGTCATGTGATCAAGGTGGAGAAGATCAAGACAAGACTTGGCTTGATGGACCGGTTGCAAGCGTGAAGGGCAAGTCAAAGGCTTTGGAGTGATGGACCGCGTGGCGGTGAAGCTTGAGCAAGACTTGGCGCCGATGGACGATAGCAACGGTGAAGAGCAAGTAGAGTCAAGATCGATGAACCAATATGATCATGTGATGATATGAAGTGGATCATATCATTGTTGATCGTGTTGGTGCATGTGTTGCATCGACATTGAAGGAGATGGAATGGAATGCGCAAGGCAAAGGTATAACCTAGGGCATTTCATTTCACCGGTCATAGGTGTGTAGAGAAGTTTATGACCGGGTTTAGGATAGATGGCCGTACTATCAAGAGGGCAAACTTGTTTGCATATCGGTCATCTAGTGCCACTCGAGTGATCTAACTTTGCATTGTCGCTAGGATCGAGTGGCGTGGCAAGTTGAGTGGCTAACATCCTTTGGGAAATGATTGTGAAAATGCTAACACACATACACATGGTGGTGTACACTTGGTGGTGTTGGCACATTTACAAAGGAGATGGTGTTTGCGGGGTGAGATGGTTTGGGTCCTATTTTCTAGCTTGCTGGATTCGCCTTCTTCGGAAAATAGAATGTTTTGTGCAAGTTCTTGTGGTTACATTGGAGCAAGGGTGATGAAGTTAGAAGTGAAAACGAGTTAGTCGCGAAGATGTCAAGCGTCGGTCAACCGACCGGACGCTGGATCTGAATGCACCGGATCTTTGGCAGTCATGCGTCCAGTCGGTGACGTCTGATGACGCAGAAAGCCGGAGTGTGTGACCGGACGCTAGCGCGCATCCGATCAAGTGTGACCGGACACGTCCCGGTCGAGGTCGGTACTTTCTCGAAAACGACCGGACGGCCGGGGTTCAAAGTCCGGTCGCTTGAAAGATGCTTTGCGCGTCGGTCAAGTCAAGTGACCGTTGGAACCGGACACGGGTTGGCCGTCTGCAGCGACCGGACGCCGAGGTCCAGCGTCCGGTCAACACGACCGGAAAGCGTCCGGTCGGCCCGACCGCTGCCCAAATGAAGGGTAACGGCTAGTTTAGCCCTTGGGGCTATAAATAGAAGTGGCCCTCGGCCATGGCTGTGTCGAGCACCTCAAGGGACTTAGTGTCCATGCTTGTGAGTGCTTGGGAGCCTCCATCACACATATACTTGATAGTGATCATTCGATTGTGTGAGTGAGCGATTCTAGTGCGATTGCATCGTGAGGTTGCATCGAGTGGCACTAGGTGATCGAGTTGCGAGCCGGTGGTGCTTGTTACTCTTGGAGGTTGCCACCTCCTAGACGGCTTGGTGGTGGTCTCCGTCGGCGCAGCAAGAAGCTTGTGCGGCGCTCCCGAGAAGTGCTTGTGAGGGGCATTGTGCTCGCCCAGCAGCAGAGCCGCCAAGAGCAACTCTAGTAAAGCGTGTCATTGAGCTACCCTCACTCAAGGGGTAGGTTCTTGCGGTGCCCAACGTGCGGGCTTAGCGGGTGATGCTAATTAGCCGCCCGAACCACCAAGTGAGTGGTCGACACAACGGGGGACTAGCGTGTTGGCAAACACATGAACCTTGGGAGAAAAATCATCGTGTCAACCTTGTTCTTCCCATTGGTTTGCATCCCCATTACACAAGCTTGCAATTACTTATATATATATATATCTTAAGCTTGTGTAGTTGCTCTTGTAATTAGATAGCTTGTGTAGCTAGCTAATTACCTTCTTGCTTGTGTAGCATAGAAGTAGCTCCTTATGTGGCTAATTTGGTTTTAGTAACCTTGTTAGTCATATTGCTTAGTTTGTGTAGCTAAGTATTTGCGCTCTCTAATTAGGCATTGGTTGCCTTGTTATTGAGCATTGCTAGTGAGCTTAGTTAGCTTTGTGCTTTTGCTTACTAGCATGTGTAGGAGCTCCTTGTTACTTAAAGTACTAGTGGCATAGGTTTGTGTGACCTTGCTCCTAGAATTGTTTAGGAGAGCTCTAGCTAGCCCGGCACCTTTGTTGCTTTATTAGTATCTTTGCAAGATGCTAGTGAACATATATAGAGGGGTGTAGTCTTGGCTAGACCGATTGTTTTAATTCCGCATTTATATCGGTTAGCCGACGCGATTAATTTTAGAAAAGACTATTCACCCCCCCTCTAGTCCGCCATCTCGACCTTTCAGCGCAGCAGTTGGGCCACATGTGATCAAAATGGTTGGTTACACTCAGAGGTTGCAGAAGCTGGGCTTCCCAATTGGCCCTGAATTAGCTACTAATTTTATTCTCGCGTCTCTTCCGCCTAGCTATGGAAATTTCATCGTGAACTACCATATGCATGGGGTGGAGAAGGGCTTGAATGAATTATGTGGCATGCTTAAAATAGCAGAGGCTGATATCAAGAAAGGTGCTGGCAGTAGCCATGTGATGGCGGTCCAAAACAAGCCTAAGTTTAAGAAGAAGGGCAATTCTTGGAAGAAGAAAAAGGGCAAGGCTAAAGATGAGATCTCTAAGCCAAACCCACATGCGCCCAAAGCTGGACCACCTGCTGATGCTGAGTGCTTTCATTGTCATGGGAAAGGTCACTGGAAGAGGAACTGCAAGCTGTAACTGGAATCCATAAAGGATCACGGCAGTAAAGGTACTCCCGCAGCTTGTACACTTGTTGTTTATGTTACGGACATTTTCCTTGCTAATTCTTATATTAATTCTTGGGTATTTGATGCCGGATCGGTTGCTCATATTTGCAATACGATGCAGGGAATGATAAGAAGTAGAAGCGTGGAAAAGGGAGAAGTTGATTTCCGCATGGGCAATAATGCAAGAGTTGCTGCGTTGAACGTCGGGACGATGCAACTCCACCTCCCGTCAGGATTTATTATGGAGTTGAATAATTGTTATTTTGTTCCTAGTTTAAGTCGAAACATTGTGTCACCTTCATGTTTGATGAAGGATGGTTATTCATTTGTGAGTAAAGACAATGGTTGTGTGATCTCTAAAATTGGCATGTTTGTGGCTTCTGCATCCATTGTGAATGGGTTATTTATTTTAAATCTTGAAGATGCTCCTGTCTATAATATAAGTGCTAAAAAGCCTCGGCTTAATGAGTTAAGTCCTACCAATATGTGGCATTGTCGTTTAGGTCATATAAGTGAGAATCGCATAAAGAGGCTCCATTCTGATGGGCTTTTAACTTCGTTTGATTTTGAATCATACGAGACATGTGAGGCTTGCCTGCTGGGCAAGATGACCAAGACACCTTTCACAGGTTTTCCTAAGAGGGCGGCAGACTTGCTGGAACTCATACATACTGATGTGTGCGGACCAATGAGTACGACAGCAAGAGGCGGATTCCAATACTTCATAACCTTCACTGATGACTTTAGTAGATATGGCTATGTCTACTTAATGAGACATAAGTCTGAGACATTTGAAAAGTTCAAGGAGTTTCAGAGTGAAGTAGAGAACCAACGTGGCAAGAAAATTAAGGCTTTGCGATCTGATCGTGGAGGCGAATATTTGAGCCACGAGTTTAGCAATCATCTAAAGAGTTGCGGAATTGTTCCACAGCTTACGCCACCTGGAACGCCTCAGAGAAATGGCATGTCCGAGCAACATAATCGGACTTTGTTGGACATGGTTCGGTCTATGATGAGCCAGTCAGACCTACCGTTATCATTTTGGGGATACGCTCTAGAAACAGCCGCTTTCACATTGAATAGGGTACCGTCTAAGTCCGTAGTTAAGACACCACATGAGATGTGGACTGGTAAGAGTCCCAGTTTGTCTTTTTTGAAAATTTGGGGTCGTGAAGTTTATGTCAAACGACTTATGACAGATAAACTAACACCCAAGTCAGACAAATGCTTTTTCATGGGATATCCGAAGGAAACTTTAGGGTATTACTTCTACAACCGATCAGAGGGCAAAGTATTTGTTGCTCGGAACAGTGTTTTCTTAGAGAAATAGTTTCTCAAAAGAGAGAAAAGTGGACAGAAGGTGTATCTTGAAGAAGTTCAAGATGAGCCAGTTGGGAAGGACTCTACGAGTGATGCTAATGTAGCAGAACAAGTTGAGATACCCGTGGCAATAGAAACACCGCCACAACCATGAAGGTCAGCAAGAATCCGTGAGTTGCGTGGGGATTTGTTATTGTTAGACGATGACGAACCTGTGACTTATGCGGAAGCAATGATGGACCTAGATTCCGAGAAATGGCAAAGTGCCATGAGATCCGAGATAGATTCCATGTGAAACAATCAAGTTTGGAACTTGGTTGACCCGTCTGATGGGGTTAGACCCATAGAGTACAAATGGATCTATAAAAAGAAAAAGAATATGGATGGAAACATTCACATCTATAAAGCTCGACTTCTTGCAAAGGGTTTTCGGCAAGTTCAAGGAATTGACTACGATGAGACTTTCTCGTCGATAGCGATGCTTAAATCTATTCGGATCATTCTAGCAATAGCTGCTTATTTCGATTATGAGATATGGCAGATGGATGCTAAAACAGCCTTTCTAAATGGAAATTTGGATGAGGACGTGTATATGATACAGCCCAAAGGTTTTGTTGATCCAAACAATGCTGGAAAAATTTGCAAGCTTTAGAAATCCATTTATGGGTTAAAGCAAGCATCTCGGAGTTGGAACATTCGTTTTGATGAAGTGGTCAAAGGGTTTGGCTTCCGTCAGAATGAAGAAGAACCTTGTGTTTACAAGAAGGAAAGTGGGAGCGCTATTGTATTTATGATCTTGTATGTGGATGACATATTATTGATTGGGAATGACATTCCTATGTTGCAATCCGTAAAGGACTTCACTGAATAATAATTTTTCTATGAAGGATTTAGGAGAAGCAGCATACATTTTGGGCATCAAGATCTATAGAGATAGATCGAAGAGGCTTATAGGATTAAGCCAAGATACGTACATTGACAAGGTGTTGAAACGGTTCAACATGGAACAGTCCAAGAAAGGGTTCTTGCCTATGTCACATGGTATGCGCTTTAGCGATAAACAGTGTCCTTCGACAGCTGATGAGTGAAAGCGCATGAGTAAGGTTCCATACGCCTCGGCAGTTGGTTCCATCATGTACGCCATGATATGTACTCGCCCAGATGTCTCATATGCTCTAAGTGTTGCGAGCAGGTACCAAGCTGATCCAGGAGAGAGTCATTGGACACTTGTTAAAAACATTCTTAAGTACTTGAGAAGGACTAAAGATGTGTTCCTAATCTATGGAGGTGAGGAGGAGCTCGTTGTAAATGGTTACACCGATGCTAGCTTCCAAACTGACACGGATGATTCACAGTCACAATCAGGTTTTGTGTTCACAATAAATGGTGGTGTTGTAAGTTGGAAAAGTTCCAAGTAGGAGATGGTGACTGATTCTACAGTAGAGGTCGAGTACATTGCAGCTTCTGGAGCTACGAAGGTAGGTGTTTGGATGAGGAGGTTCCTCATTGAACTTGGTGTGTTTCTAAATGTGTCCAGCCCATTGAATCTACATTGTGACAACAATGGGGCAATTGCGTAGGCTAAGGAGCCAAGGAATCACCAAAAGAACAAACATGTACTACGGAAATTTCACCTCATTCGAGAGTTTGTTATACGAGATGAGATCAAGATGTGCAAGATACACACAGATTTGAATGTTGCAGATCCTTTGACAAAGGCTCTTCCATAGCCTAAGCATGAGGCGCACATGAGAGTTATGGGTATGTGGCAGAACCGCCTAATCTAATGCCTCACAGGAGTGCTCGTATTCCATTAGGCACTAAGCACTCGAGGGAGAACACTAAATTACTCGGTTCCATCGGGCACACCCCAAGGGAGAACCCGAAAATCCACATTTTTGCCATCAGGATCACAAATGAGAGAATAAAGCTTACATCATTCAGAACCATTTCTTACATCACTTTTAATACAACATCAGAGTATAATAATTATTAACATAACAGTGGAATGAAATCATATTATCAGAGTTATAAACAATTTAATTGAATAGTGGAAAATAAACATGTGATCAGAGTTACAGCGGAAATAAACATCTATTAATGACATGATGAAGTATTGATATATAAACTACGACAACAGATTATTAAACTTTCATTTATAAAAGTATTTGGTGAGAGTTATAAATAACAACTATGATCGCAGCGTAAAGGAAATCCTTGCTAAGCCCACCAGGAGGAATCCACACACAAAGGTTAGCTCTAGCATCCACCTGTCACCTACAACAGGGGGAATAAAGCCCTGAGTACTCAATTGTACTCAGCAAGACTTACCCGATAGGAGAAAAGAAAAGACTCCAAGGATGTGCAAGGCTATCTGGCTTGTGGGTTTATTACATTTCCAGGAAGCATTACTAAGCGTGCGTCCTTATATTTGTTTTTTATTAATAGCCGCATTGGTTCATTAACTAACCATTCTATGTAAGCACATATGCTACTTTAAAGCAGGTGGTAAGCAATCAGATTTCCTTTGTCCATCTTTCATCTTTCATCTTTTAGTTCTTACTATGATGCTAAATCGTAGACAAGCCATACCGGATCGCCCGACGATTCGCGAATCAATGCCCCCAGCTGGGTACCCCGAAAACACACGCCCCGCTTGTACCCCAGGCACAAGCAGGACCAACCCATCACTCTCCTATCCCGGGTGTCCAGGTCCCCGTCCAAACTGGGACTCCAAGCCCCCACCCCTGAGTCCCGGACTCAGTGCGGTGCAAGGACCTCCTCCACCAAAATAAAACCCTGACAGTCGGTCTGGAAAGAGCTGGATCCGCGACAAGAGAGCAACAAGTCTTCCAAGCGCCCATACATAAGTATGTGCTCAGGATAATAAGTCTGTGACCGGCCTAGAGTCTTATGCAATGAACGGTCCTTAACCGACCAGACAGGGAAAGCAGTGTAACCAAGCTATGCCCCGTGTCCACGGCGACACAACTTCTTACACCCACCAATACCCAAACCATATCCATGTCCGGTCACCATTTTTCTTTCCACCATTTATATTTTCCAAGTGATAGCCATACAGTAATATATTTCCTATCTCTCGCGAGTGACAGGCAATCACTCGACTTCTATCGGAGTCCTGTAGCATAGCAATCTACACGATCCTATCATACTAGTAAGACTCATAGGATAAAGATATATATATGCAGGTGGATTTTATTCAACTCCTTAAAACTTAATGCACAAATATAATTTAAACTGCAGAAAGTAGGGGTTATGAACCGGGGCTTACCTGGGTAAGATATATATAAAGTTAGTATCTGCATCTTCAGATCATCCACATCATCTGAATAGAAAGCCCATTGCATCATCTCCTGGAGAGAATACTATTACACCCTCTTCGGATTCCCAATCATCCTTCGATCGATCCGTTGATCCATCATCGTACCTATATGATATGCATGCGATGCAATGCAAAGATGTAGTTAATTAACTGCAATCGTGGCTCGTAAAATACGACGTACGCCTCTCGAGTTAACGGCTAGTTCTAACGACGACCATACTTAGGTTACATATACGCGCTGTTGGATAAGACGTTATTTCCCAACGATCAATTTAGTTATATAAACCAAGGTGTTTGTTTAGACGCAA